CATTTTTAAGCAAGAGACTATCTTATTTATGATTGACCCATATAAACACTAGATTTATAGTCAGTCAGTAAAGAGATGAGACATAAGCAAAAGAGTGGACTCTATGATTTCTTCTTCTTCTTCTTCTTCCCTTAATCCCACTGTCCCACTATCCACTACATTGGGATTGATCTCTCATATTAGTCGGTCAATACGGCCGGATACCAATCCAAATATATATATATATGTATTTTTGAGATCATATTAGTCAGCCATTATGGCCGGATACCAATCAAAAAATATATATATTTTTGTAAGTGGGTTGAGGAAAGATTAAAAACAAAGGACAACAATGAGTTGCTTGGAGTTTTTGGTGATTCAACATCACATTGTTGTCCTCGAACCCCCTACGGCCATTGATGGACACTTGGACTTCATAATTTTCTGAGACTTTACCTCTTGAATGATCAACATGGAATTAATATGCCAAATGACCGAGGAATGGAGGGGCATATTTTAGAAGATTTAATTTTAATTTCTACATTTGGATTTTAAATTTGTCAATAGAAATGGCAAGAAAAAAAAGAAAAAACTAGATAAAAAATGTTCATAATTCTAAAAGTTTGGGAATAACAAATGCCTTCAAATAATAATATAATAGGTTTGAGAAAACTTCACAACAAACTTAACATATTTTTCCTTGTATTTTAATTACATTTTTTTTAGTACTGTTTAGATGCGAATCCAACCCGAATTGTGCCTTTCAGAGAAGTTTTTGATGCCAATGCTTTCAAGATTGCCACTTCGCTGATTATGACGCAGATCGAGCTGCCCGGTCAACTCGCGGGGGTCCAAGGGGCAGCGCCCCTTGGCGGGTCCGGGGGAGCGCCCAGGTGGGGTCGAGGGGCAGCGCCCCCGAAGCAAAATGCAAAAATGCATTCCAAGTTGCCTGTCCGCTCGAGCGGACATTACCCCGCTCGAGCGGAGAATCCTTGGTTCCGGCAGTTTTGGTCGCCTGTAAAAGTACTGAGATGTGTGATTTCGCACTTGAGCGGGTTCTCTAGCGCTCGAGCGGACCTCTGTTATATCACGCGCATATTTTGCTGAAGCCGCTCGAGCGGGATGTTGGACGCTCGAGCGGAGATTGTGGGACAAATTCTATAAATTCGCGTGTTGGGTCAGATTTTAGGATTATGCCTCCAGATCTTCTTTTTGGGTTCTGGGGTTTATATCTGGGGATATTTTGCAAGCTTTCTTTGATGTTTCATTGAGTATTCAACTCATGGTTTAAGAAGCATACATCAAAGGTTTGTTTGTTTATTCTACACAAAAGAGAGAGTTGTTCTTCAGTGGATTCTGAAGAATTTGAGCCTGAAGCTTTGGTGGATTCTGGAGCAGCTCATCATAAAGACAATTTCGAGGTGAAGGCGGGATTGGAAGAGGCACATAGAGGTTGGTTCAATTCGGGCGTGGATTCGCTAGGTAATTGGGAGTATACCTGTGTAATTCCTTTAAATCTTCTTAGTGAATTGTCTTGTGGCTGTTGCCCATGGTTTTTTGATCACGATTGGAGGTGTCCAATTGTTGTTTTTTCACGTAAAATCGTTGTATTGATTTGTCTTGATTGTTTGATTGAGATTGTTATATTCTGCTTAAAATTGATACATAATCACAAATCAATATCTAGAGGATTTCTAGATTTTTCAAATAGAAATGGCAAGAAAAAAAAGAAAAAACAAGATAAAAAAGTTCATAATTCTAAAAGTTCGGGTATAACAAATGCCTTCTAATAATAATATAATAGGTTTGAGAAAACTTCACAGCAAACTTAACATATTTTTCCTTGTATTTTAATTACATTTTTTTTAGTACATAAAGAGAAAATTATAAATATGTGCAAGAAAGATCCTCAAAACAAATATAAAAAGAAAAAGCCCACTTCTAATAAGGGAATCAAACCTTTTTTGAAAAAAGGAAAATCCTATAATTCAGAGCCTTTAGATATAGAAGTCTGGCCCATTTGGACCAAGCCCTACAATAATCCCACAATTTGCTTATATGAGCCCACAGCCTAGCCCAACCCATTACATCGTATGCAATAACAACAGATCTAAATCGAGTTATTCAAGCCTAGATATATGGAAAATGCTACCATATGCACCTGCCACAAAATGTGCAATCTTATTACAAATTGACGTAACAAAAAATGTGATGCATAACCTAACTACAAATTAGCATAACAAAAAAATATCGTAACTAAGCCAAAAACTTTTACATCATTAACCACAAAATTTTTGACATTTTATTATGCTAATTTGTACCGAGATTATACATTTTGTCACTGATGTTATACAATTTTATGGAAAAATCATATTTTTGTGATAGAGTGCAACCCTTTAGAGCCAGATATATAGATACTAGGGTAAAATGCCCATGCCTTGCACAGGGTTACAGGTACTATTGTGATAAATTTAAATTTAAGAAATACACACATTCTAATAAAGTTTAGAAATTTAAAAAAAATTAAAAAAAAATGAGCTTTTATTTTTGTCTTCATCTATTTTTGATTTTTTTTAGATTTTAATTACAAATCTATTTATTTTGATGCACCTAATATAAATATACTTAAAATTTTAATATTTATGAGAAGTGTGAAAAAAATTTCACTAAAAAATAAAAAATATGAAAAAGTGCTTATTTTTTCTTCTTTTTATTTTTATTTTTAGTAAGCTTTTTCTTTTCTTTTTTTCTTTGTTTGTTGTTAATTTTGGCTAGTACTTTGTTCGGTGGTACTGTATGGGTGTGCATATGTGATGTCAAACTTGGGTTATAAATTGATGTTAAAGAAATCAAATGTTGTTATTAAAATGTGATAATTTTCCCGTCTTCTCTAATAGGATCAAAATTTCGTTTCCGTACGTTCTTTCGGTTAGGTTGGAAATGAAAATAGAATTGGAAACTTTTCAAACTTTTCAAAACATGAGAAATAACAAAAGGATTTGAAAGTGTATGAAAATATTTAGGAAAAAAAATAAAAACTTTTATTGATGTTAATAAATTCTCAATAGTTAATTACTTGAACATGTTGAGTGTTATGAATGCTTAGTTGGATAAAGGGGTTTCCTATTTTAAGAAAAATATATTAAAAGAAATTGTGAAATTCTTGTAACAGTAGGCATGGAAAAATAAACAATCGATGCATTGCTCCTTAATGGATTCTAGACTACGAGCACAATTGGTAGCTAATTTGTTATCACAATAAAGTCTCAAAAAATGTTTTTTGGTTGGTCTTAATTCTTGTGGTGATTTTAGTCAAAAGAAGTTCAAAGGGTCTATGTGTCATTGATTTGCACTTGATCTGACATCTGTTTGACTGGCATTTACTTTACCAAGTTGCAAAGATAACCTCTTTATCAATGTAATTAGCCCAATCAAACGGAGTTAAGAAAACAAATGTTTATTCAACAATCCTCAGAGCTTCTTCTAAACTGAGGTGTTGTAACTCCATGCGTGAATTGATTAGCTGTAGCTACATGAATCTATTAGATTAGCGATTGACCCAAAAGCTTAATGTGTTTATGTATTTAGAAGGCAAGATACTTTTTATTCTTCATAGAAAGTTGGAATTTCAATATTTTATACTATTGTTTCAGACTGAACAATTGTGGGCATGGTAGTTTAGAGTTTGAACTTGTAAACAATTTAGGATTTTCCTGTTCGAAGTTCTTAGGTTGTTATATTATGAAAAATTAGGGCTTGTAAAATTAGGTTCTTATAGTATGAAGAATTAGTTTAGTAGAGTTTTTCTGTATCAAAGGCCTATTGGTTATAATGTCTTACATGGATGGTTCAATACTTGAAGATGAAATGAGAAATTATGGCGCGCATAGTGAGGTTATGGGAAGAGTTCTTACAGTATGTGCATGCTATTTCATAGAATGTGAAATTAAAAAAATCAAAGTATGAAAGCAACTACACACGAAACACATGACGAAAACGGGTTTGATAAACCTAAACAAAATGAAAGCCCCAAAAAAAGAGTTTTAATTGAAAAAATTATTTTAAAAAATAATAATAATACCAAAGGGAAAGCATAACAACATAAAACAAAGAGTAAAGGAAAACATAAGCTCGTAAGAAGGGATGAAGAAATCATGACAAATCACAACAAAAGAATTCAAATGTTAATTCATGATAATTGGAGAAATGATCCGACACATGATTTTTGTTTAAATGTGGAAATAGATAATCCTTCTAAATAATACAAGAAATATAAGTCATGTAGGATGCTATTATATATGGAGCAAATAAATTTCATTTCCATGTTCATGTCGATATGCCACTTAAATATTTTGTAATACCAAAAGACCCATGCCTAAAGGCACTCCTATGTAATATATGTGGTGTTTGCTCTCAAATGTGCTTACTTTATTATTTTGAAATAATTGAGTTACTTTGAATGCAAAGTGTAGGTATGGAAGTTGTGAGCATTATGTTTTATTGGGGTGGAAAGATTTTGGCAATCGCGATGAAGGTGTGTTGTATGACACCAAACCTCAGGGGTTGTATAATGTGCACATGGGGATAACATTGGGCGAGTTGGAGGCTATGATGATGCCAAAGGTTGGTACGCATGGGGAAATAATGCGATTAGAGTTTAAATGTAGACTCCCATGTTGGGGGAAGTATAGGTTGCTGCCAATCAAAGATAATGAGACCTTAAGTAATGTCTTAGAGTTCCCACATAAATTAGGCCCTGATTATTTTTTGGAAATCTATGTGGAGAAGGAGAGCAATTTTGGTGGCACAGAGATGCCAATTCCGGTGGGTGGGACATTCACTCAAATGTTGACACAATCGCAATCCCCTGACAATACACTTATACAGTCTGCACACATGTTCCCTGAAGATTACCCTCCATTCAATCATTCTCAGATTACAATCAATTAAATGCATCACAGAACGTAGATGGTTATTACAGTGCCGGAATAGGTCCAAGTGCTCCAACAACGTATAATCCGATGGTTCTTACAACCCCATATCCCCACTGGAATGAAGAATGTCCACCGATTTGTAATGTTAAACGTACAACGGAGACGGCTATCCAAAATTATGCATCCTCCGATGATACAGTGCCATTGTTTGACGAGGTTGGAGTAAGTGATAAAGATTTCGTGGAAGATGTGGATCATGCATGGGAAGGTGTAGAAAATGACTCCGGTGATGACGAAGTTGGAGGGTATCATGATATGCAGGAGGTACACACAAATGTCCACATCCCTTTCTACCATAATTTGCATTTCGACAATGATGGTTCCATCACTAGCCGTGATGTTGTCGAACGTTGGCCATTGTGGGACTTCGAAACTACTCATTTGGAGAAAGGAATGATATTTATTGATAAGAAAAGACTAATGCACGCTGTTCAGTTGTATAACCTGAAGCGCAATCGACAATGCAAGGTCGTAGAATCCAAAGGAAACAGTTGGGTGGCCGAGTGCAAGCATAGCTGCAACTGGAGGGTTCGGGCAACGAAGTTAAAAGACAAAGATTTCTTTCAAATTAGAAGGTTTGAAGCACCGTATCAGTGTGTGTACCCTAGAATGAATAGGGACAATTGCAACCTCAAGTCCGAGGTCATTGCTCATTTCATCAAGGCACAAATTGCGGTAAGTTCCATGCTAGATAGATTATTGTTTTTAGAATTTCATTATGACTGTAATGTATTCAAATATAATTTATATTTGCAGATATCACCAGAATTGCCTCTTGCTACCATAATTGAGGTTGTGAAGGAGAAGTTTCAGTTCACTATATCATATAAGAAAGCGTGGCTTGCAAGGACGAAGGCAGTTGCAATGGTGTTTGGTGACTGGGACGAGTCGTACCGAAGGTTGCCTAGATATATGGTTGCATTGCAGGCATTCAATCCAGGCACAGTTGTCATGTGGGACATGATTCTGAATTTGCACTCTACCTTAATCGGAACTGAAATGTACATAAACTATGTGTTCTGGGCATTTAAACCTGCAATAGAAGGCTTCAAGTATTGTCATCCAGTGATATGCATTGACGGCACACACTTGTACGGGAAATACGAAGGGAAGATTGTTGCGGCCACTGTAGTGACTGCTGCGGACAAGATTGTACCTCTTGCCTTTGCCGTTGTTAACAAGAAGATGATCGAGAGTTGGGGTTGGTTCATTACTCTGCTTAGGCGACATGTGTGCCGTGACCGAGAGGGGGTCACATTGATATCCGATCGACACACAGCTTTGCTTAATGTCGTGTCAAGAATTTGGGACAATCCGGCAGTTCAACCAAGAGGGTACCATAAGTATTGCTTGCGACACGTATGTAGCAATTTCAATGAAAGATTCGGCAATACAGTAGCGAAGGATCTTGTGTGGAGAGCTGGTTCTGCACGGCAAGTGTGGAAGTTTAACAAGATTATGGACGATATCTACAAGCTCGAGAAGGATGTTGAACGGTGGTTTAGACGGATGAACCCTATTCATTGGACATTGTGCCATGATGGTGGTTGTCGTTGGGGCATATTGACGACAAACCATATAGAGAGCTTCAATGGTGTACTGAAAGGCGCACGCAGTGTTCCCATTACAGCATCAGTTGAGATAACTTTTTATCAGCTCGTGAAATATTTTGACGAGGGCAGGACCATTGCTGAAAATACGAGTAATCAGGGTCACTTGTACACGACTAATGTTCAACGATGGATTGACGAGCACCAAGCTAAAGCAAGTGTGCATATGCTGGTACCGATTAATAGGTAATTTTTATTGGATGAACTGAATTCACTACACATTAACATTTTGCACTCGTCGATCATTGATGTTAGTCTATATTTAAACATATATGCATATTAATCCACGTACATACATTTTTCCTGCAGGGGAATAGGGGAATATGAGGTGAGGACAGCACCGCATGGAATGGGGAGTGGTGCTCGTCAAATAGTTAGTCTCCGACCACCGAGTTGTTCATGTGGGAAGTGCACATTATGTCACTTGCCATGTTCCCACATGCTTGCTGTGACAGCAAACTTGGGCGAGGACCCTTTTCCTTTCGTTGCACTAGAGTATAGGTTGGAAGTCCACAAGCGTATCTTCGCGCAGAAGTTTAGGCCCATGCCGCATGAGCAATATTGGCCTGACAATGATTACCCAACTTTGCTTGCTATTCCAGCTCGACAACGTGAAGTTAAAACGGGTTGTCCTCAACATAGTCGCATCCACAACGAAATGGATACTTCCAGACAAAGTGGATTGCACCATTGTAATTTGTGTTTGCAAAGAGGGCATGATAAGAGAAAATGTCCAGCGAGAATCCAATCGATTCGACAGTAGTTTTTTGTCTTCTTTACATATTAGTTCCACGCTACTTTCTTTGAATTAGAGTCAATGTAATATTCAATGAATCAGTATTCAGTAATTGATAATGTATTTACGACTTCAATTACTAATGGCATAGATTTGGTCAAATGTGGCAAATCTCTTCAATTACTTTAGTTGTTGCAAGTGTCCTTTGTGCACTGGATTATGCAGACTTTGGTGCGTTGATGGTCGATTGTGTCCTGACCTCGATGGACACCAGTTTATCTAATGTTAGAAAAATGCAAATATTCACAGAATGAATTGATAATCACCAATATAAATGCAGTTTATATTCAATGTTTTGCCACATTTTGTTATGTGGGAAACTATTTTTTTTTTAATTATTTTTTCCAAAATCCATTACGTGGGTGAAGGCCCATTTTATGAATTCAATCATTTCTCAGACATTTACTACGTATTCGTATATGTTTAGTTCTTGTAAAAAGTTTGACTAATGTATTTCAAATCTACATAAAACCCTCTTCAAACCTTCGTACTTCTTTCCTGTCCAAATGACAACTCCTTTAAAGTGAAAGCACGTTTTTTCATGTCATACAGGTTGACGTGACAACACACTGACAATAACTTTAATCACATAGGTACCATGTGAACCTTATCTCCTATGACAATAATGTCAAATGAATTACTAATCACCAATATAAATGCATGTCATATTTAATGCGTTGCCACATTTTGTTAGGTCGTGAATTGTTTTTTTAGTTTCCAAAAATTCATTACGTGAGGGAAGACCATTTTATCAATTCAATCATGTGTCTTAAATTTAGTACATATTGGTAAATGCTTAGTTGTTTTAAAAAGTTTGAGTAGTGGATTTGAAATCTACTTAAAGCATGGGTTTTCATGTCATAAAGCTTGACGTGACAACGCGCTGACAATATCTTTAAAAGCACAGGTACCATGTACCTTATCTCCTATCACAATAATGTGAAATGAATTACTAATCAACAATATAAATGCATGTAATATTCAATGCGTAGGCACATTTTGTTAGGTGGTGAACTGTTTTTTAGTTATCAAGAAATTTTTCCAGGCAAGAAATTTTTCATTACGTGACAGAAACCCATTTTTCCAGGCAAGAAATTTCTCTTAAATTTAGTACATATTGGTTAATGATTAGTTTTAAAAAGTTTTTATATGTGAATTTCAAATCTCCTAAAAACCCTCGTCAGCTGTATGGATTTGAAATCTATCGAATTGACAAGTCGAATTGACATCTCCTAATGACATGAAAGCATGTTTTTTCATGTCATAAACATTTACGTCACAACGCTTGTCCAATTACTTTAGACACACAAGTACCATCACGACATCAACTGAAAACACGTTTTTTCATGTCATAAAGGTTGATGTGACAACACTCTTCAAATTACTTTACACACACAGCTACCTTGATTTCATAAATTGAAAGCACGTTTTTTCATGTCATACAGGTTGACATGACAACACTCGTCCAATTACTAAAAACACACAAGTACCATCATCACATAAAGTGAAAGCACGTTCTTCCATGTCATAAAGGTTGACGTGACAACGCTCTTACAATAACTTCAAACACACAGCTACCACGTGAACCTTATCTCCTATGACAAGTCATTGTCAGTATGTGGGTTGATCATATATGATTGTTCCACTTACGGTAAACACACAGACATGAGTAATCGTGTCCATCTCCATTTTATGTGTTCTGCATGTTGGAACTACTGTTCCCAGTCACCACTATAAGTATCACACCCTAGCAGACCCACATGTTTACACAAAAAATTAAGAGATATCATCATGACATATACGGTGATTGATCTATATTCCACAATGGGTTGCCATTGGGTTGCAGACGGAGATGAATTTCAATACCCATTAAATCCAAATTTGCGTTACTCACATCGCACCATCAATACCATGAGAGCTGAGTAGGAATTTCGCATAACACGAGCAACCATTCTCGTTGAGCTATGTCGTGAAGTTCATATTAAATTTCCTCGACGACTAGCTATGCGTATGCCAATTGATACTCCACAATTGTTGCAAAAGGCATTGCATCGTATTCGTGATAAAGTTAATCGCATGACCCAACGTTTGCAAAGGTCTGAACTTCAGAAGACAGCGAATGAGCGTGCTGAAGATGGCTTAATGGATGATGCGCAACAATATTTAAGTTGGAGCATGGACACTATGTATCAAACTGACATTGAGATGTCAGATGATGATGATAATGAATGAAACTGTTTCGATGTCTGGCGGAACAATTTCCCTTGTAATGGCTTTGTAATGCGTATGCACAAGTTATCAATAAAAGGAGAATTTAGAATGTGAAATTATGACTTGTGTAATGGTTTCACTGAAAATGCACAACATTTTTAAAATGCGATAATTGTCAAGATCAGCATATAGTTGATGCCCCTTCCAATGGCCCTTGTTAATGTTTAGCATTTTATTTTATGATTTACATCCATAATTGACAGATTAAATGGGTCTATACTTTCAAATAAAATGTGGCTGTCCAGCTGATCGCATTCGTTTGGTCCCTTTAATGTAAACAATTTTTTTTTGCTTCCCTAAAATTCATTATTAAACATTCTTTCGAAAATAATATACCAACCTGACATTGGCATCCCCCATTCATAATGATGACAATGACTGAACTTGGTTGGATGTATGATGATAAGAGATAAGATACATTATAATGGGTAGTCATAAGTTACCAATGCAAATACAAATGTTGTAGGGCATGATTATGGGTAAGTGTACATAAATGTACACTTTTCATAAACTTAAGCTTCATAAAGCAGTAACACATAGTGCAACGGACGGTTAATAACGTAGTTGAACAACAACAATGTAGTGGACGGTTACACAACATAGACCCGATACACACCAACAACATAAAACAGTCACACATACTGAACTCCTAGGTTACATATGTTGAAAATAGACTCGGTACGACATACACACATATTGAACAACAACACTTACATGTTTGATTTGTCATTCCTCATCTAACATGTAGTAGTCAGAGAGATATTTTTCATTATGTAAGACGTGATTTCGCTCGGTTATAGTCAATTCTCTGTTGCTTGCTTCCGCCACTTCAGTTGCTAGTTGAAGCATGAAATGGCGACATCTCCGAGCAACATTTTGTTGTTCTCTTTTTGAATTCTGCTATCTGCTTCCTCATAGTCACCCACATTTCGTCTAGGCATGCTCAAGGAACGACGATGAGGTACCGGTGCCCCTAACTTACGTAGATCATTAAACAAGCTCTCCTGCTCCGTTACCCTGAATGCCCATTCTGCCCGAATACCAACGTAATAATCCTTTGGGCTAGAGTATTTTTCGCTCATGTAGTCATAACTAAATGGAGGTAGTAGCCACACTTTAGGCAGCCTTCGTTGGCGTGAACTGCCTGCACCCCTCGAAGACATTTCTTGTACACAGCAAAATGAAAATAAATATATGGGTTGTAAAGAATTATTGAGATGGGTTGGAAAATGATCGTAGTTGGGGTACTGCTATTTATAGACACGCAGAGGATATGAAATGGTACTGATAATTGATATTAGGGGTTACTGTGGATGAACACACTTCCGTGATATTATTTTTACTTTTTCATTTCATGCTCTTTCTTTTTGTTTTCCCTAACTTGTTGCAGTTTGTATACCTGTGATATACTGTCAGGTCGTATTCTCATTTTGTCAGCATATGTATGTACTATTGTCAAACTTCTTGTTATCGGATATCGATTTCATATATGAAAACTTGTGCAAGTCTTTGACTCATTTACCAGAGGAGATCCCATTATTGATTCATCAGCATCGAGCCGATACGATATGGCGTCAGTCGGTATGAATTATTTACTTATAATCTGTTAGGTTTTATTTTTGGCAATCCCGTTTGACAAAACTCCTTTGAGTTGTAATTTTTTTCGCATTGTTATTTCAGTGAGACTTTGAGTGTTTAGATGCGAATCCAACCCGAATCAAGCCTTTCAGAGAAGTTTGTGATGATAAAGCGTTCAAGATTACCACTTCGCTGATTATGACGGGGATCGAGCTGCCCGGTCAGCTCGCGGGGGTCCAGGGGGCAGCGCCCCTTGGCGGGTCCGGGGCAGCGCCACGGCGGGGTTGAGGGGCAGCGCCCCCGAAGCAAAATGCAAAAATGCATTCAAAGTTGCCTCCCCGATC